TGAAATACTTTTTCCTAATTCCTGTTAAAATTATTAATCAACATAATTGGGTTTTGTGGGTTTTTTGTTTGTCTTAAACAGAAATTTGCTCTGTCACACAGGCCGGAATGCAGTGGCGTGATCTCAGCTCACTGCAACCTGTGCCTCCCAGGTTCAATAGCTTCTCCTGCCTCAGCCTCATGAGTAGCTGGGACTACAGGCATCCGCCACCACATCCGGCTAATTTTGTGTATTTTTAGTAAAAACAAGGTTTCACCATGTTGGCCAGTCTGGTCTTGAACTCTTGACCTCAGGTGATCCATGAGCCTTGTCCTCCAAAAGTGCTTGGATTACAGGTGTAAACCACCATGACCGGTCAACATAATTGGTTTTTAAAATTTATTCATTTATCAAATATTTGTTGAGCACCTTTTATATACCAAGTACTATTCTAGGCAGTGGGGACACAAGAGCCAAATAAAAAAGGTTTCCATCCTCAGAGAGCTTACCCTATGGTAGAGGGAAAGCCAAATTAATAGACAGTGAGAAACAATGTAATAAAAGAAATAATCCGAGAAGCATGCAGAGACCAGTACACAAAATAGTCCAAAATAAGGAATTTTTATTTTCTTCTCAGGGCAATAGAATGCCATTGAAGGATCTTCACTGAGGGGTATATGAAAACGTGTATTTTTAAAAATGGCCTTGGCCAGGCACAGTGGCTCATGCCTGTAATTCCAGCACTTTGGGAGGCCAAGGCAGGCAGATCACCAGGTCAGGAGAATCGAGGCCATCTTGGCCAACATGGTAAAACCTCATCTCTACTGAAAATACGAAAATTAGCTGGGCCTGGTGGTGCACGCCTGTAGTTCTAGCTACTCAGGAGGCAGAGGCAGGAGAATCGCTTGAACCCGGGACACAGAGGTTGCAGTGAGCCAAGATAACACCCCTTCACTCCAGCCTGGCCATGGAGTGAGACTCCATCTCAAAAAAAAAAAGAAAGAAAAGAAAAGAAAGAAAAAAATGGCCTTGATACTTATCTACTTACAGCAGGCCGGGTGCGGTGGCTCAAGCCTGTAATCCCAGCACTTTGGGAGGCCAAGGAGGGTGGATCACAAGGTCAAGAAATCAAGACCATCCTGGTCAACATGGTGAAACCCCGTCTCAATTAAAAATACAAAAAATTAGCTGAGCATGGTGGCACATGCCTGTAATCCCAGCTACTCAGGAAGCTGAGGCAGGAGAATTGCTTGAACCTGGGAGGCAGAGGTTACAGTGAGCCGAGATTGCCCCATTGCACTCCAGCCTGGGCAACAAGAGCGAAACACCATCTAAAAAAAAAAAATAAAGAAAAAGAAAAAAAAATTGAGCCGGGCACAGTGGCTCAAGCCTGTAATCCCAGCACTTTGGGAGGCCGAGGTGGGTGGATCACGAGGTGAAGAGATCAAGACCATCCTGGTCAACATGGTGAAACCCCGTCTCTACTAAACATACAAAAAATTAACTGGACTTGGTGGCGCGTGCCTGTAATCCCAGCTACTCAAGAGGCTGAGGCAGGAGAATTGCCTGAACCCAGGAGGCGGAGGTTGCAGTGAGACGAGATCGTGCCATTGCACTCCAGCCTGGGTAACAAGAGCGAAACTCCATCTCAAAAAAAAAAAAAAAAAATTAAATATTTTAATTAAACTTTTTTAATTCAATAAAAGTATTATTTAAAACATGTAGAGTGTTTTGAAAAGTTTATTGTTCCTATTCAGAAACGCACTATGAAGAGTTTTAACTTTTTCTTTCTACATTAACAAAATAGTTAATAAAATGGGTTCCTGGCCCTTCCAATCATCAGCAGAATCACCCACAAAACCATACTAGTTCACACAAAGAGGAAGCCTTGTAAATAGAAAAATCAGCCCTCCTCGGTGGCTCACACCTGTAATCCTAGCACTTTGGGAGGTCAGGAGTTTGAAACCAGCCTGGCCAACATAGTGAAACCCCATCTCTACCAAAAATACAAAAACAATCTGGGCATGGTGGTGCATGCCTATAGTCCCAGCTACTCTGGAGGCTGAGGCAGGAGAATTGCTTGAACCTGGGAGGTGTAGGTTGTTGTGAGCTGAGATCACACCACTGCACTCCAGCCTGGGCAACAGAATGAGAGACTCCCTTTCTAAAAAAAAAAAAAAAAAAATCAAAACAAAAAACAGAAACTCCCACAAGGCAGTAAAATTACCCAATTTACTTTGTTCTCTTACTGTGACAACTGCTGTTGTGGTTTAATTATTTGCTACAACTTCAGAGCATCCTAATATATGTCAGCACCCTCTCTGCAGGTCTCTTCAATTACATCTCTATAAAGAGGCAGGGATGAGACTACCTGGGTTTCTGTGAGAATTAAAGCATTTGCAGATTAGCAGCTTCCAAATTAGCAGGCTGAGAGGCATGATACGTGATTCTCTTCTGTCCTACTCCCCAGTGAAAGCAATTAACAAGGAGGAAACAGGAATATGGTTCCTTTTCTCGAGGAGTCTGGCGCCTCCCTAGGGAAAGCAGGAGACTCTGTGCTGACAGTACTAGGGGATCCTTAATGCAAATGCTACTGCTCAAATTCTCAGTGGATGCTACTGATCAGAGGGCACCCCAGAGCAAAGTGGGGAGTGGCTCCTCCACTCACTCATCCTCTGGCAAAAGACAGGATGGGTTTTTGGAAAGAAGAAACCACACCACCCACTTATTGTAATCCAGATCTCGCTCAGTATAATCTCACCTGGGCCTAGCACAGTGTATACATGATGGGAGCTCAGTAAATCCTTGTTGAATACATGAGAGAATAAAAGTGTGGCGCACAGAAGGTATTCCATAAATATTAGTTGGATAAATTAAGAGTGAAACACTTGTTGACCCAACATTTTGGGAGGCCAAGGTTGGAGGATCGCTTGAGGCCAGAAGTTTGAGACCAGCCTTGGCAACACAGTGATAACCTGTCTTTACAAAAAGTAATAGGCAGGTTGTGGTGGCTCACAGCTGTAATCCCAGCACACTGGGAGGCCAAGGCAGGCAGATCACCTGAGACCAGGAATTCAAGACCAGCCTGGCCAAGATATCGAAACCCCATCTCTACAAAACAAGACAAAAATTAGCCAGACATGGTGGCACACACCTGTAATCCCAGCTACTCGGGAGGCTGAGGCACAAGAATCATTTGAACCTGGGAGGCAGAGGTTGCAGCGAACCGAGATCATGTTACTGCACTACAAACCTGGGTGATAGAGCAAGACTGTGTCTCAAAAAAAAAAAAAAAAAAAAGCTAAATAAAAAATAAATTTAAAGGCTGGCACCGTGGCTCACACCTATAATCCCAGCACTTTGGAAGGGCGAGGCAGGCAGATCACCTGAGGCTTGGAGTTCGAGACTAGCCTGACCTATATGAAGAAACGCCGTCTCTATTTAAAATAAAAAATTAGCCAGAAATGGTGGCACATGCCTTTAATCCCATCTACTCTGGAGGCTGAGGCAGGAGATTAACTTGAACCTGGGAGGTGAAGGTTGCAGTGGGCCAAGATCATGACATCGCACTGCAGCCTGGGCAACAAGAGTGAGGCTCTGACTCAAAAAATATATAAATAATATTTAAATTAAAGAGAATCACCAAGACACTGTCCTAGGTCAGGAGAGGATGTATATGACAGGTTCAGAGCTACCCACTATGAGTAAAGTAGTCCAATGAGCTAAACAAGAGCTCTGGGATCCGACCCAGCATCCGAAGCCCAATGCCACTGGCCACATTATGGGAAGCCTTAGCCAAGTCACTGGGATCAGTCAATAGGGGATCAGTTTCCCCTTTGGGAAAAAAGGAGTAATACCTACCTTGCATGGTTATTTTATGAATTAGAAAAAGATGTAGATAAATCGCCTCAAAGGAGGTCTGGCACATGGAAGACATAGTAAAGAAAAATGGTAAAACTCCCTAGTAAGTTCTAACATTTCTTGAGGGCTAGCATGTCCACTTCACTGTGCCACACATCCTAAATATATGACCACACAAAATCTTCACACGAGGCTGTACTCAGCGGCTCACACCTGTAATCCTGACACTTTGGGAGCCTGAGGCAAGAGGATCGCTTGAGGCCGGGAGTTCCAAACCAGCCTGGACAATATAGGGAAGCCACCTTTACCAAAAAACAAAAAATTTAGCTGAGCGTGGTGGTGGTGTACACCTGCAGTCTCAGCTACTGGGAGACTGAAGTGGGAGGATAACTTCAGCCTGCAAGGTGGAGGCCAAACTGAGCGGTGATTTGCACCTCTGCACTCAAACCTGGGTGACAGAGTGAGACTCTATTTCAAATAAAGTAAAATAAAATAAAATAGAAAATTAAAAAATAAAATGTTGAGGCCAATGTTACAAGTACAACGATCTCCCTTCTACAGGTGAGAAAACTAACATGTAGAGAGTGATGACAGGGTAAGGGCTGCGGGATTCGAACTCAGGCACACGTGCAGTGTACACTCCTATCCATCACACGGTATTTTCCACTATGATGGCATTAAGAACCACTTAATCGCTCAGACGCTACAACTGGCACTTTGCAAACAGTGTTTCAGTGAATTCACCCCAACAGGGTTAAGTTGGCGCAGCTGAGGCTCACAGGAGTCCAGAGATTTGCCTGAAGTCGCCACGCACGGCTGGGGCCTCGGGGAGTCGTCACCCCCTCGCTCCGCACCCTGATCGTGGGAAGCCTCCCTTCAGCAATCACATCGCGCAGTCTCTGCCTCAGTGTCCCAAGGCGGACCCCAATCCCCTATCCGCGTGGGGAGTCACGAAACTCCGTCCGTCCCTGCCCGATTGTCCCCTAAGGTCAAGCCTCCCCATCATCCGCCCGGGTCTAAGAGTTGAGGTCAGCCCCACCCACCTCCTCAGTTCGGGGCCGGGGGTCTCCCAGTTGCCCCCCGGGACGGAAACAGCTGCGTGGGGGAGGGGCTGTGGGGAGGACGCATGCCCAGACGGCTCCACTCGGCCTCCAGCTCACCTGGGAATCACGAAACTCCACCACCACGTTCTCGCTGCTCCATCGCGCCGCCATCTACCCCGCCCTGCCGCCGCAGCCCTAGGACTGCGCCCTCCAAGCCCGCCGTCCCCAGAACTCCGGGACCGTGAGCCCCACACAGCCCTAGAGTCAATCCTGACACGGCCCGTCCCCAAGTTGCTCCTGAACGCAAGCCATTGGTTGATCCAAGAACAGGCTCCGCCCCTTCGTCTTGGTTCCTCCAATTGCTGCACTGCTCCTGCCACAAACAGGCACGCCCTCTCTCACTTCCGTCACTCGGTTTGAGCCACCGACGTGCCTCACGGCTGCGGCCACGCCCCCTGCCTCGAGCTCTGCCGGGAGTTGTAGTCCAAGCCCGAGCAAGCGTGGATGACACGTGAAGAGCTCGCAGGTTTGGGTTTGGGTCAGGGGACGTGTCTATTGTCCTCACTAACTCCTCGCCGGACCCCCAGGCACTCCTCCAGACCCAGTCCAATGTTCGGACTGGGTGCGGTGGCTCACGCGTGTAATCCCAGCACTTTGGGAGGCCGAAGCAGGTGGATCACCTGAGGTCAGGAATTCGAGACCAGCCTCACAGATATGGTGAAACCCCCGTCTCTACTAAAAATTCAAAAAATTAGCCAAGCTTGGTGGCAGGTGCCTGTAATCCCAGCAAGTCGGGAGGCTGTGGCAGGACGATCGCTTGAACCCGAGAAGAAGAGGGTGCAGTGAGCCGAGATCGTGCCACAGTACTCCAGCTTGGGCGACAAGAGCAAGACTCCATCTGATAAATAAATAAATAAACCTTCGTGCAAACCTAATATACCTCTTCGCCTCATGCCTATCCCATCAAGATACTAAAAAGTCTGAATGTGCAATTTATTATTTCATACAATACAGCAGCACCTCCCACAACAGATTGAAGGTGGACTTGAATGTGAGAATCCAGCTGCTTTCGTTTTCTTGATCTGCAAGAAAGAAATGCTCTACTTCTGATCTATACCCACTCCTGCAATCCAGCTGTTTTCTTTTTCTTTTTTTTTTTTTTTTTTTTTTTTTTTTTTGACGGAGGCTGAGGCAGGAGAATTGCCTGAACCCAGGAGGCGGAGGTTGCAGTGAGCCGAGATCGCGCCATTGCACTCCAGCCTTGGTAACAAGAGCGAAACTCCGTCTCAAAAAAAAAAACCTTAGGAACTGCCCCTTCTTTTTCTTTGGAAACTGACTGTAACTGTTGCTAACTGGAGTGTGTATTCAGGGCAACTTGAATCTATGCTCCTACATTGTTTTCTCAAGTTTGGCCCAAATAAATTCTCTGTTTATGTTCATTTTGCCTCAGCTTCCTCCTTTTAGGGCAACACCAGGATGTAGTAGGTGCACAATAAAAATCTGCTGAATAACTGATTAACAGGCCAGGTACTGTCATTTACACCTGTAATCCCAGCAGTTGTGGAGGCCAACGGGGGAGGATCGTTTGAGACCAGAAGCTGGAGACCAGCCTGGGCAACATGGCCAAACCTGGTCTTTTTTTTGAGAGAGAGAAGGAAGGAAGGAAAGAAGGAAGGAAGGAAAAAAGGGAGGGAGGGAAGGAAGGAAGGAAGGAAGGAAAGGAAGGAAGGAGGGAGGGAGGGACGGGGGGGGAGAAAACAACGAAAGAGTATCACTGGAAAAGTTGGCAAGTACTGATTAAGAAGAGCCCTGCTAGCCGGGCGCGGTGGCTCAAGCTTGTAATCCCAGCACTTTGGGAGGCCGAGGCGGGTGGATCACGAGGTCGAGAGATCGAGACCATCCTGGTCAACATGGTGAAACCCCGTCTCTACTAAAAATACAAAAAATTAGCTGGGCGTGGTGGCGCGTGCCTGTAATCCCAGCTACTCAGGAGGCTGAGGCAGGAGAATTGCCTGAACCTAGGAGGCGGAGGTTGCGGTGAGCCGAGATCGTGCCATTGCACTCCAGCCTGGGTAACAAGAGCGAAACTCCGTCTCAAAAAAAAAAAAAAAGAAGAAGAAGAAGAGCCCTGCTGACCAGGTGCCGTGGCTCACACCTGTAATCCCAGCACTTTGGGAAGCCCAGGCTGGCTGATCACTTGAGGTCAGTAGTTCGAACCAGCCCAGCCAGCACAGTGAAACCCCGTCTCTACTAAAAATACAAAAATTAGCTGGGCGTGGTGGCAGACGCCTGTAATCCCAGCTACTCGGGAGGCTGAGGGAGGAGAATTGCTTGAACCTGAAAGGTAGAGTTTGCAGTGAGCAGAGATCTGGTCACTGCACTCTAGCCTCGGTGACAGAGAGCAAGACTCTGTCTCAAAAAAAAAAAAAAAAAAAAAAAGAGCCCTGCCTTTTGGACAAAGGTACGGATAGAGATACAGCTCTTAAAGCTCTCTGTCTATGTATACATAGCTTGGTAATTTGCTTCCCACCAAAATGAGTGGGCTCTAAGATCATGGTGCCTGAGCGTTTCTGCAACCCTCCCCCACTCCCACCTCTTTAGTTCATATTTATCTATTTCTCAAAATCTGCCTGTCATGGTTCATAGGCAAAGACAGCACTTTGACTTTCAAGCCCTTGGTGCACTCTGTTCTCCCACTGCTTTTCTTCTTAAGTGGAAAAAAGGTCCAGCAGAATTTTGGGGAAAGAGAGCAGAAGCACTTTTCCAATTACCTCCTCAGGTCCTTCTTTGGAGTCTCCCACCCATATGTCATGACGCTGTCATGAAATAGTGGGGGCTCGGCCAGGCGCAGTGGCTCACGCCTATAATTCCAGCACTTCAGGAGGCCAAGGTGGGTGGATCTTCTGAGATCAGGAGTCTCCTCTTGAGGCTGAGACCAACCTGGCCAACATGGAGAAACCCCATCTCTACTAAAAATACAAAAACTAACCGGTGTGGTGGCGGGTGCCCTGTAAACCTAACTACTTGGGAGGCTGAGGCAGGAGGATCGCTTGAACCCTGAAGGGGGATGTTGCAGTGAGCTGAGATCACGCAACTGCACTCCAGCCTGGGCAACAGAGTGAGACTCTGTCTCAAAAAAAAAAAAAAGAAAGAAAGAAAAGGAAAGAAAAAGAAATAGTGGGGACTCTGGAGCAACATCCAGAGCTCTCTGGCTGCTTCTTCATTGCTATTTGCCCCTGAGATCTGCATGTAAATGTTTTTTCCATGTTGATAAAAAAAATTAAACAAAATCAAAGCCAAACTTTTTGTTTATATTTTGGAGACCAGATCTCAGGCTGGAGTGCAGTGGCCAGTGGTGCCATCTCGGCTCACTGCAACCTCAACTTCCCAGGTTTAAGCGATCTTCCCACCTCAGCCTCTTGAGGGGCTGGAACCACAGGCACACATGACCACATCTGGCTAATTTTTGCATTTTTTGTAGGGATGGGGTTTGGCCATGTTGCCCAAGCTGGTCTCAATCTCCTGAGCTCAAGTGATCCACTCACCTTGGCCTCCCAAACTGCTGCTCTGTGACATATTTAAAGAGGTTTCTTCTGAGACCACCTGAGTGCCATATGAGTGACCGTGGCCTGGGGAACAGTCTTAGGAGGTCCTGAGAAAGTGTGCCCAAGACAGTCAGGGTACACATTGGTTTTGCACATTTTAGGGAGACAGGAATTGTAGGTAAAATCATGAGTCAGTATGTGGAAGGTATACATTGGTTCAGCCTGAAGAAGCAAGATGTCTTGGAGGGAGCAGAGTTACAGGTCATAGTCAGATTCAAAGACTTTCTGATTGGCAGTTGGTTAAAAGAGTTCAACTGTGGCCGGGCGCGGTGGCTCAAGCCTGTAATCCCAGCACTTTGGGAGGCCAAGGCGGGTGGATCACGAGGTCAAGAGATCGAGACCATCCTGGTCAACATGGTGAAACCCCGTCTCTACTAAAAATACAAAAAATTAGCTGGGCATGGTGGCGTGTGCCTGTAATCCCAGCTACTCAGGAGGCTGAGGCAGGAGAATTGCCTGAACCCAGGAGGCGGAGGTTGCGGTGAGCCGAGATCGCGCCATTGCACTCCAGCCTGGGTAACAAGAGCGAAACTCTGCCTCAAAAAAAAAAAAAAAAAAAAGAGTTCAACTGTGTCCAGAAACCTGAAGTCAGTAGAAAGAAATGTTTGAGTTAAGATGAGGGAAGCCACAGAGATCAAGGCTCTTGTTAAGAAGATGAAGCCTCATAGGCATCAGCCTTCAGAGAGAATAGGCAGTAAATTTCTCAGGGCCTTAAAAGGTGTCAGACTCAGTTTCTCTCTCTCTCTCTTTTTTTTTTTTTTTTTGAGACGGAGTTTCGCTCTTGTTACCCAGGCTGGAGTGCAATGGCGCGATCTCGGCTCACCACAACCTCCGTCTCCTGGGTTCACGCAATTCTCCTGCCTCAGCCTCCTGAGTAGCTGGGATTACAGGCACGCGCCACCATGCCCAGCTAATTTTTTGTATTTTTAGTAGAGACGGGGTTTCACCATGTTGACCAGGATGGTCTCGATCACTTGACCTCGTGACACCCGCCTTGGCCTCCCAAAGTGCTGGGATTACAGGCGTGAGCCACCATGCCCGGCAGAGTTTATCTCTCTCTTTAAAAAAAAAAAAAAAAATTGGCCAGTTGTGGTGGCTTATGCCTGTAATCCCAACAAATTGGGAGGCCAAGGCAGGTAGATCACGAGGTCAGGAGTTTGAGCCTTACCAACATGGTAAAACCTGATCTCTACTAAAAATATAAAAATTAGCTGGGCATGGTGGCATGCACCTGTAATCCCAGCTACTTGGGAGGCTGAGGCAGGAGAATCACTTGAACCTGGGAGGCAGAGGTTGCAGTGAGCCGAGATCTCACCACTACACTCAAGCCTTGGTGACAGAGTGAGACTCCATCTCATTTGAAAAAAAAAAAAAAAGGCCAGGCGCAGTGACTCACACCTGTAATCCAAACACTGGGAGGCCAAGGCAGGCATATCATTTGAAGTCAGGAGTTCAAGACCAGCCTGGCCAACATGGTGAAACCCCGTCTCAGTAAAAACACACACACACAAAAAAAAAATTAGCTGGGCATGGTGGTGCATTCCTGTAGTCCCAGCTACTCTAGAGGCTGAGGCAGGAGAATCACCTGAACCTGGGAGGCAGAGGTTGCCATGAGCTGAGATAGTGCCACTGCACTGCAATGTGGGCAACAGAGCGACACCCTGTCTTAAGAAAAAAAAATTAAGATGGAGTTTC